TAAGCGACAAAATATACGATAACACAAAGCAACAATAACAACAAATTGCCAAGAGACAGGAAATACTATACATATGAAGAATAATACAACGTAGCAAACATTACAAAAATGCAAATATTAAAACCCAATAAAATGTAAGAAAAAAACACACACACACGCACACACACTTGATGAAAATAAGGAATTCCTTGATGTGCTGTTTGCTGCACATAAAAGTTGCCAGTTGAAATATAAAATTTATTGATGTAGGTCAATGATTTAAATAAATATATAATAAAATTAATTTCTCTTAAAAACATTTATTTATACACGTTTTATTTAATTAAAAATAACTTATACGCCACATATGTATGCATAAGTATAAATCAAATAATTTCGTTTTGAAAAAACACTTAAACCGTTATATTTTTGTTTGCAATTTTTGTTATTAGCTTAACTAAACGAAATTGTGTTTAAACATGCTGACAACCGTTTGTTAACTGATAGACAATGTTTTTTATTTAAAACCTCTATATGGTTGTTGGCTACAAACAGTTTTTCCTTCTTTTTTATATAAAAAAAAAATAAAATTTGCTCATATGAAAGCAAAAAAATTAAATGAAACAAAATTTACACACTTTAGTTGAAACGATGAAAAAAATATGGATCAAGTTTAATTGTAGTTTTTTTTTTTAGCAAATTAGAATAAAAATGACCTAAGAAATGTACAGTCTCGTTCATATTTACGGTTTATGTATATCTACTAGCTATACCCAGTGTGCTTTGCTACACTAAAAGCAAAAAAAAAAAACACTTACACATGGGAGATGCCACTCAAATTATTGCAAGTTCGCGTATTTTTCCGAATTTGATTAATATGTGAGGGGCCAATCCCCCCATTGAAAGTCAGCCAATTTTTCTCTAAATGTTCACATGAATGTTAAAGTTATTCATGTAAAATTTGAAAATTCTAGCTTCTACAGTATCTCAGATATAAACATTTTTCTATATAATTCATATGGGGGTTCCAAGCCACCCCCTGATGAAAGTCCACTTTTTTTCCCCCAAAATGTTCAGATGAATATGAAAGTCCTTTTTGCAAAATTTTAGGAATCTAGTTCTATTAGTTTCTTAGATAAAATATTTTGTTGTATTTAATTCATATGGGAGGTGCCGCTCCCCCCATTGTTAGTCCGCCAATTTATTACCCAAAATATTTCCATGGATGCTAAAGTTCTTCTTGCAAAATTGGAAGCTTTTAACTCTAATAGTTTCCAAGATAAACGAATTTGTGTATTTAATTAAGGAGGTGCCACGCCCCTGCTGCTAGTCCGCCCACTTTTTATCCTAACTAATCACATTGAGACTTATTTGGCTCCGAACAAATTTGAGGACTCTAACTGTTACATTTTCCGAGATATACTGATTTAATATTTTCTTAATATGGAAGGTGCCACACCCACTATAGTCATTCCTCCAATTTTGTCAAAAAAATATTCTTATGGATGTCAAAGTTGTCCGTCAAAATTTGAGAACTCTTATTGTACCAGTTTCCAAGATATATGACTTTTAATAGCTATTAAATAAGTAGGCGTGGCAACTCGCCTACTTGAAATTTTAAAATAAAAAGTAGCCTATAGTTCCTTCCAGATATACAGGAAGGTGCTGTTAAAATTTCAAGAAAATAGGTCCAGCCGTTTAGCCGTCTACAGACTTCAAACAAACAAACAAATAAACACACATTCATTTTTATATATATAGATAAAAGACATAATAGTAAAGAACACACATATATTAAATAAACATACAAATATAATATACATACATACATATGCATGTGTAAAAGAATGTACATAATATAATTTTTAAAATACATACATATGTATATCCTCATATGGAAAAAAGTCTACATACACTGTAAGAAAATTATGTTTAAAAAGGTTTGTAAAAACGAAAAAAAATGGCTAATTATGTTCAACATTTTACAGTTAATTCTAGACTTGATGACTGAAAATTAGGCTCAGAAAAGAAAACTTTACTTCATCATAAATGAAATCATGAAAAATGCGGGTTAAATGTCAAATAGGCCACTGTTGTGCGCTCCTTGTCATGTTGGTAACAACAAAAACTTTATGCATTATCGTCCGATGCTCAGAAACTCAGTTTCCCATCAGTGTTCACTTCCAAGATATGTGGATCTAATTTCGGCGAAAGCCTGACAATTTCAAAGGAAAAGCTCCAGAGTTTCACTGTCCTCTCTAAATGCTTACCTTAGTCTGACTCCACACGTCCAATTTTGTCAAACTGTGCCCATAATACTGTGTGTCCACTCAGAATAGGTACCATTATACTAACCTCAGACTTGCTCATTATGAGGAGGCTTCTCGTCCTGCTCACTTTGTCCCCCAATTTAGAGCCATCAGTGTAGCAACGGATTCCTTACTCTAATGTTCCGCTAGACCTAGACATTCTATCTGGGATCAATGTTTGAAAGTTTCCGACATATTCTGTGTCTGGTATGCAATCGGGCACGTCCAATGATTGTGTATAGCCCACATTGGAAGGCTATACACAATCATATACGTCCCTACAGTTCGACAAAGAGTCAATGCATAGGAAAAAGACAGTAATTTCCACTTATGTTAAACCATCTGGTGGGCTCTAATTCGTCTTTCGTCACGGATGTACTCTTTGTAAACGAGGGTGAAGGTAATCGTCACTTTAGTGTCCCCTTTGTAAGCGAGAGAGGGGACACTTAAAAAACACTTGTCTGTCTCTTTGTAACCTATGGGGTGACGATTGACTTCTTCGTAGGACAAGCACAAGTTAAAATAACTAGTCACCTGGACAGTCGGTGGCTAGGGGTAACCCTATGTGAAGGTAATCGTCACTCTAGTGTCCCCTTTGTAAGCGAGAGAGGGGACACTTAAAAAACACTTGTCTGTCTCTTTGTAACCTATGGGGTGACGATTGACTTCTTCGTAGGACAAGCACATGTTAAAATAACTAGTCACCTGGACAGTCGGTGGCTAGGTGTAACCCTATGTGGTAGGCTAAATAGGGAGTTCGGGACTGTCCGCCCGAACTGCTGGTGTACATTGATGACGTGTCTTATAACCGCTTTTGGCCAGTTCGTCTAAAGTTATGAGCCATTTGGCTGTAAGGGCCGATTCATATCTTATATATGTTTCAATGGGTGGAATATCTAGTAATGTTTCCAGAGCCTTGGTTGACGTAGCACTCATGGCACCACCACAAGCAGCATGTACGCTGAACTCCTTGTAGTAGTTCGATATTATACTGTTTGTCCAAAGAAGTCCACCAGATTATTGAAGCATAAGTTAGAATCGGTCTAATTACACTTTTATAAAGCCATAGTAAGACTAAGTCCATATTTCATGCCTATGATTCTCCTACATAGCGCGCAGGAATTACACCTATGTATACATTATAGTGTATACTTCGACCGATTGCTTAATGAAGCTTATGGTGATAGTATTTCAGAAGTGATGATTTTGATACGGTAAAAAAAGATCGAACAGGTCAGTCAAAGACCTCTAAAAAGAATTGCAGGAACTAAATGGAGTTTGATTACAGAAGAGATCCATTAGAGTGGGAAATTTAGAACCTTAGGAATGGAAACATAGAGATCTTTAAAGACGACTTGGCATGATCGAAATGCTATTTGAACACTCTAAATGAACATAATTTTTGGCTATAAAAATGAATCCATTAAGATAAGAGAAAGAGTAAATAAGTATAAGAGTGATGAAACAAAAGGGTTATATTATGATCAGATGAAATCTGATCTGTTACTTCAGACGTTTCACATTCTGACTACTATTTATTTCGATCGATCGAGAAAGCTCTCTTTCATTTGGGGATTCACTTCGATTTAAAACTGGGTATCCGAAGTTGGCTTGATTCACATTAGAGTATCCCGAGTATTACCTACGTGGGAACGGTATATCTAAGTTTATCATTCCGTTTGTAATTTCAACAATATAATTTTCTGATCCTATAAAGTATATATATTCTGGATCCTTATAGATAGTCGATTAAGCCATGCCCACCAGTCTGTCTGACCGTATGTCTGTCTGCCTGTTGAAATCAAATTTTCTGAAGCTTATGGTATCCATCAAATTTATAACATTTTCTCTTTGTGTAACATAAATCGTAATAGCACTTTTCTTTAGTTAAAATTTTGCATTTTCTACAACTTTTAAGTTTTTTTTTACAACCCAGAGAGTTTGTTTGTGCACAAGTTTCAGTATAAAATAAATTTATTAAGGATATTCATACTTAATTCACACTCTAATGCAAAATTATTAACACTTTCACTCGTAGCCTGTGAATATCCTTTTCGTACAAAAGAATCTTTAATGTTTGTTCGCACATATCCTTTTAAAAATTGTTGTTGTTGTTTTTATTTCGTTTGCCCTGCCTTTATCTGTTTTCTAGCGTTATTTTCTTTATTACACATTTTCATGTGAGTGTATGAAGTGTCATAATTGAAAAAAATTGCTTTAAGCCATCATACACGTACTTAAATACATGGACAGACATTTATACATACACTGTCATACATACGAACGCATATGTTGTTTTAGAATTTTTTTTAGGTTTGACTATCCTTTGAAGGACATTTCTAAAAGGTGAATGTTAAATAGTAGTTGTTGGCTTAATGTGTGTCAAAAGAGTAAAGCTATTTTTTTGTTAGCCAATTCAGACATCTGTATATTAAATGTGTTTGTTGGTTGTTTTTTGGGTTAATTTTTTTTTTTTTTTTTTTTGTTTTTTTCTTTTAATTGAGGCAAGGACAAGTGAAATGGTCATGAATCTCTCATTCATTTCATTAAGAGTCATACAAAAGTTTGAGGCATATGGAATTTTTACGGAGAAATATTGTGTTATTTTTTAAGTTTTATAACGGTTCTTTATATTGATGTACATATTTAAAGTATACTTTTAGGTGTTACCTTAAATATTTGTTTATTCATCTTATAGCTTGTTGGCGCCCTCTATGGTCTAGTAGCAGTTAAAAACAACTTATTTATGAACATTAAACAGCTGATCGAGCGGTCAATTCAAAAGAAAACTATTGGTACATTCAGTTTAGTGCATAAAAGATTTCTTGAATAAAATTAAAAAATTAACGATGAATCCTCCAAGAGCTCCTGCTCCTTCGCGGTTTGTACGCGGTCGAGCCAGAGGCGGTGGCGCTTATCGACCATATTTCTATTTTAAACGTAATGGACGGACAATACCAGCACATGGTCGAGGTGCTAACAATACCAGCACTAGAGGTAGAGGAGCTATAGCCCCAGTTAACCAAACTGCTGCCAATAACAACCTACTAAATCGTTTGAATAATGTGCCAACACCCTCTGCCATAAACTCAAGTTTCCTAAGACCTCCGGTTTATGCTGCACCCGAAGATAGACAACAAAGAACTCAATCGCTAGAAATAGAAGTGCCGCCAACTGTTCCCGGTTGGCGTTTGTATTTCTATAAAGAACCCTTTAACGATACCAGTGATTTGTTACAACGTGTTAATCATATGGAAACTCATTTTAAGGATCATGTTGCTCACTACGATTATTTGAATATACAGAAAAAGGGCCACTTTGAGTTGAAGGCGAATATAGTGAGTCAAGATCAGCAGCTAAAGGAAAATTGGCCTACGTTAATGGAGGAATTGTCAAGCAGTCCCTTGAAAACTTTAGCCATTGTAGGTCTTGCCATGCATTCATTGGCCACTTCTGCCGCCGTAGATGCGTCTTTGAGTCAACCTGCCTGCACTGAACTAAGATATGTTCCAAAAATTATAAGACCACGTAAAATTTATGTACGTCCAACCGGTTTTATAGCTGAGGGAGGTATAGCTTGTATAAGTTCTTTGGAAATTGATCAATTGTATTGCGTTCGTGGAAGGGTAAAGGAAATTGGTCCAGTGGATGCTGCCGCCTCTTGGGTGGCCTATAAATGTACACGTTGCGGACAGGAGCAAGCATTGAAGCAGACGGGTAAGTGAAAATCTTTGAATCTAGGGATAAAATCTATGATCACTTATTTCTTCTCACACTATCTGTCTATCTATCTATCTATCTATCTATCTATCTATCTATCTATCTATCTATCTATCTATCTATCTATCTATCTATCTATCTATCTATCTATCTATCTATCTATCTATCTATCTATCTATCTATCGATCTATCTATCTATCTATCTATCTATCTATCTATCTATCTAGGCTATCATCCCTCCCGTCCGAATTGTTGCAAACGTCAGGGCTGTCTGGCCAAACAAGGTTTTATTGAATTGCGTTCTTCTCCTTTTACCCGCATAACTCCTAAGCAAACAATACGTTTAACGGAAGCACGTTTAGATGTTATCTACGACATGGAACAAGATACCAATAATTATATCGATGTAGAACTTAAATACGATTTAGTGGATACAATATATTTAGGTCAGGAAATTGTTGTTACCGGAGCTTTGAAAGTAAGACCCCTGGAAGATGAACAGAAATATGATCAACCTTCCACATCCAAAGGTAGCATGGAAATATTTCTTAAGGCCGTTTCAATAATAGATGCAAAGTATAGTAAATATAAATTTACCGAAAAGGATTTAGAGGCAATAACTATGATCAATAGTGAGGCGGATAGTTTTAAATTGTTGGTACATTCTTTGGCTCCCGAAGTTCATGGACATGAACTTATAAAAGCGGGGGCTTTATTATCCCTAATAGGAGGTGCAGGTTCACAGGTTCATGACGAAGAGGAAATTAATATTTTGTTAGTTGGAGATCCGGGAGTGGGCAAAAGTAATATTGCTCATCAGTGTAGTAAAATTTCGCAAAAGGGTGAGTAATACTTATTAAACTATGAATATAAATTAATAAAAAATGTTTTATTTTTATTTAAAGGCTGCCTGGTGCAGGCTAAACGTGGCAATACAACCACCACCTCGAAACTTACTCACTCCCTAAAAGGACGTACTAAATTAACGCTAGAATCTGGTGCATTATTCAATTCAACTTATGGTCACTGTTCGATAGATGACGTAGATCGCCTCGCTAGTCAACAGGAAAGTTTAATGAATGTTTTACAATCAAAACTTTCCTGTCTGGCTATTTCCTCCATATGCACAACTATGCATACACCCACCTCGGTTATAGGTACAGTCAACACGGTGAGTGGTCATTATGATCATTCAAAATTGCTAATAGAAAATGTACGCATAAATCCATCACTACTAAGTGAATTCCATTTGGTATTTCTAATGTTGGATAAACCCAATAAAGAAATGGATACATCTCTAACCGAACATGTAAGAGCTTTACATGCTGGCATCAAAAGAAATACCGTCATAGCCAATAAATTCGAGCAAAAACCTAAAACTAATAATTCCATGAATATGACTGTAGATGATGATGTTGATAAAATGGATATTGATGAAGATTATAATATTGCTTTAAGATTAAAATTAAATCCTATAGAAGAATTGGATATGGACTTATTGCCAACTATATTGTTGAAAAAATTTATAGGTAGAAATTAAAACTTTTAATAATTTAATACTATTTGAAGTAATTTTTTGTTTTCTTTCAATTCCAGCCTATTCTCGACAACAAGTTAAACCTTTATTTATACCAGAATCTGCTGAGGCTTTAAAAAAGTTTTATCTAGAACTAAGACAACAATCTGCTAACTCTCCCACCCCCATCTCATCAGGGTAAGTTTTTAAAATTAAAATTATTTTTCTTTTATTTAATAATTTTTGAGTATTTCGTGCTTAAATCTAAATAAATTAAGTAAAAAAATTATATATTTTACAAAACTCTATAAATTAACTTAAGCTTAAAGATGTGATGGATAAGAAATCATCGTAATAATTTTAAAAATGATGATACTGGCAGTTCAAGTAATATGGCCAAAACAAATGACACTACATAGGAGGCAGACATAGTAAAAACTATAAAGGCAAACTGTAAAAATTTAGAAAAAATATTGATTAATTTAATTAAACATAAATTTATGTTAGTATCTTTGAAAACTTACCATCATTCCTGTTCCAAAATAAATTGGTTCTCTTAATGTTGCTATAACCACACGTGATATTAGTAGATGTACCATAAAAGCACCATAAGTTAAACGGCCCAATATACGGAAAATGGGTAGACAGCAGAATTTACGGAAAATCCCTGGGAAGTCAAAAAAGAAAAAACTTATGAGGAATGTTAATTGTTTTGTTAGAAATCCTAATTTATAGAAATATTTTGAGTAAAATTGTTGATTTTGACTTTCTTTGAATTATATATGTTCGATGTGATACTAAATGGTCTACAGTAATCTCTATTAATCCAGTAAATTATATAGATCTTCATTGATTTCCTTGTAATCTTTGTTTTGTCGAAATAGTTAGATGTATTAATCTGATTTTGAAAATATAATATCTTCAGTGATCTATTCTCTTTGCCAAAGTTAGTAAATTTCAAGCAAATATTTTGAGTGATGACAAGTAATCTATAATTATGATAAAAATTCCCTAGTGATCGCCAAAATATGCATTCCATGGATCAACAGAGTTCTCTAAAGATCACATTTGAACAGTAGGAATCAATAATATCACTGTTTGGTCAATATGTTTAGAAACTTGACTTTCCTTTACAAAATTTCGCAAATTTGAATAAAAAAAACATATTGATTGATCAATTTTGAGATCTGATCACAGATCTCAAGTGATTGCCAGAATGATTACAAGTGATATATCAGCTATTTCTTTGCTTTGCCCATAAGTATTTAAGTTCTAAATTCTTCCTGTAAACAAATTTAAATTGGAGACACATTTTGAAAGATTACAAGTGATATATAGTGATGGCTAGTTATCTGTACTGTTCATCGGTGATCTCTAATAATCAGTTATCTGTCTGTTGTATTGTCAAAGTGAAGCCAACCGATAGCAAGCAATTTTTTAAGATCACTATTAATTTCCAGTCATCATTAGTATATATAATGTTAAGAGATAAAAAGTGATCTCACGAGGTAACTAGTGATCTGTAGTTATAACCAGTGATCTCCATTCGATTCTTAAGATCTCTAAGTTATCAGCTATCTCTTCGTTTAATGAAATGATGATTTTCAGTGATCTCTTATGGTACTTTCTTCTGAATCTCCTGTGATCTGTAAGCTAATTCTTGGAAGAATTATAAAATTTTATAAATAGTGAAGTTATAAGTGTAAAAGTTCATTTTATATTGTTTTTAAATGACTTCCAAAGCAAATTACACTAAGTGATCTTCAGAGCTTTAGCTCTAATTAAATTGAAGTTTCTGTTCTACGTTTAACTCCACATATTAGTTATTTTGAATATCAATTTACTTACATCCACATTTTGATGACATTCCGACAATAAACACACCCAAACCCATACCCCAAACATTACGTTGAATAGCAGCATATAAACTATTCCACAAACGCATATCTTCATCATGATATTGTTGTAAGAAAGTATGACCCGTAAACATCCACAATATGGCAGTGACAATAAGACTGTAGAAAAATGTATGGAACCATTTATTTTGACGTAATTTTATTTGTTTCGAAGACACATGATCATATATCAAAGCAGCCAAAACACCACAGAAATAGCAGGCGAAATTCATGTGAAAAGGAACATAGAATTCATTAAATTGGCGACTTTCCACAAAAGAATCACGTTGAATTCTAAAATGAAAGAATATATGAGAAATAATACTATAGTAACTAAAATAAGCAACTTACTGAGGAGTGGGTATAAAGATGGCATTCAATTCCTTAACATAAGTTACAATACCAGGTAAAACCATAAAAATAGCAAATACTATGCCCAAAATCCAATTGCGAGCTCGGCGCCATCTGAAAAAGAACAGATTTTTGTTTATACATGTTTTATCAAATTATATTTAAAACCTACTTATGAGCCATCATTAGGAACACCAAACTCAAAACAAATGATTGAGTATCCGAGGCCAAATACCAACCTTGCAGCATACACTTTAGTTAAAGAAGAATTATAATGTTATTATATTACTGATTACTTATCAAAATGTACATAAAACATACCCGTTCATTTGTGTTAATATAATTATTTAAATATAATAAATTGGCCCACCAATTTTTGCGACACGATAATTGTTCACGTTCCAATATATGACGCCATAAAGGACCACCAGCATTATCGAAATAAATGCCACTCCAAAGTATAACAAAAGCATAGGGTATAGTCAATCTAAAAAGAATTTTGCAATATTCAAAATCTATTTGAAAATGTTTAATTAACCAAACTTACCTTAAATAACGAAATACATTAAATTTAATAAATAACGAAATATACTGCAACGTAGACAATTCCTCATTTTGTTTAGCCACCACCAACCAATTGATGGTCAACAATAGACCACTTATAACAAAAAATGTTACCGTAATCAGCGATCCTGCTACCAATAAGGTACCCGCCAATGTATGCAATAATCTCTCCGGATCTTGGGGATTGCTAATGGCTCCTTCGTATAATACCCAATTAGTGTGAGCAAATATTACCAAAAACATGGAGAAAAATTTAAAACAATCCAGGAATCTTAATTCTCGGCCAATTTTACCATTAGGTTCTTGATTTAAACGATACCAATTGCGAGCTATAGAAAAACTAACGCATATTTTGCAAGCTATAAAGAAAATTCAATGTTATTTTTTATTTTGTTGTATAATTAAGAAAATACTTGCCTAAATTTCCTGGTGATGCCTTATAGTGATCACGATCTGTTAACAATTTATCTTTACGTTTGTGCTTCAAATATAAATCAAACAAACTGCTACCTGTGGCGAATAGAATTAGAACTCCAATTGCAGCATAAAATGTTAAATTCCAAGAATCTGAAAAGAGAAAGATTTTTTTTTAGATTTATGGAGATATTGTTAAAAATTTTGATAAGTAATATGGATAGATAGAAGGACGGAAATTATCACAGAATTATATTTTATGGAAAATTTAAATGATCTTAGTCCCCTTAAGAAAATTACTTCAATGTGTATAACATTAAGTAGTTGTGATGAAATTTGACGTAAACAAGTTTTTTATAAACATAGAAATAAAAATGGGTGGGATGTGAATAGTGGGCGTGGCATCTTCTTTTAAAATTAATATTTTTAATTAATATCTTTAATAAATCATGTCCCAAAACTTTACACGAGTAATTTCATTTCTATTTTACATAATTTATATCAAAATAAAAGGTATTCAAATAATGGATGTGGCACCTTCTTTAAGAATAAATAGTTAATATCAAATATATTAAAATGTTTAACTGTTAAACATACTTTTTTTCAGCAATATTCAACTTTTTTTTGGCTACATCTTCAGTAATTGAAATAAATATAGCGGAATCTGTAGTGGGTGTGGCAATTCTCTTGAAGAGTAACTATTTTATTGTCAAACACGATGAGGTATGTTAAAGTAACTGCTTTCACGTTTATCTTCCTGTTATTCCATCAAAAGCAGATGAACTAGTGAGTTACTGTTATTCATAAGAATTTGTTCTATATGCCTCGAAACAGCTATGTAGCCTGTGGTTTAAGAGTAGTTAGTTAAAGATACTTGTCAAAATGTTCACAGATCAAAAAGTAAACAAAGCTGTATGATCCATTTAAAGAGTTGAAATGATCAAATCACCATGCGAATAATGAATATTATCCATTATTCATAAGTGAATCCTATTAGGTATGCCTTTTAGAGAACATATTCCTTAAGCTCTGTAATAAGATGTTCACAGGGAAGAAAATTCAATTCTCAGTATATTCTGTTCGATATTCTTTAGAACTACAAAGCATAATATGCTTAGAGATTAGATAGTTCAAGCTCTTTAGCTAAATGTTCGCAAATGCAAAAGTACATCATGTTGTCAGCTGTATTATAATTTCAAGGAGTTAGACCGTTAATTCCACTCAGCGTTGAGAACATCCTGCTGTTAGGTTCCCTTATCAGATATTCTTACACAGAGGGAAAAGGAAATATACACGCCTGGTACCAAATTGACACCAAAGAGTTTATAATTTTTCAATAACATCCGTTGTCAAAGTATATACATACGTACGACAACACTATGTAATGTTGACACCGCATCGTTGTCAACATTGTCGAAATCTAAATTTTATACACATCCGTTGTCTAAATGTTAACAAACGTGGTAAGCTCACTATTGGCAACGGATTGTTTGTCAATTAGATTTCGACAACGAATTGCTGCAATGTTGTCAACATCATACATAGTGTTGTCTTACGTATGTATATACTTTGACAACGGATGGTATTGGTGTCAATTTGGTACCAGGCGTGTATATTTCTTTTTCCCTCTGTGTATAGATATTCTGTTTCCTCATGAAGGAAATTACTTGGCTCCAATATTTTAAAAGTTTGTGAGATGGTATAACATCAATGATTCTGTGGAAGTATGATATGCGAAGTGACTCATAAGCGGTTTTCACTAAGAATTGTTTAGCATATTTTGGCTGACTGTTGTGAAATACTTATTGTTATGGTATTAACAGTGTCAAAGGTCTTCAATTAGTTGATTCTAAAGAATCAATAGATTCTTCTTTAAGGCCTAAACAGGTTGTTTCCATATAAACGCACTATCATCAAAGAGGTAGAGTAGTTTGTTTAAACTTTTTAACCCTGTGAAACCCACCTGAAACTAATGCGAGCTGCTGGTAGTATACCAGATGGCTAGAAGGGAAAATTAACATAAAGTTTCCACGCTACATATCAGAGCTGTAAAGGAATTATTCTTTTTATAACCACCATCAAAAAGATGCACAGAAATATACACGCCTGGTATCAAATTGACACCAAAGTTGTCAATAACATCCGTTGTCAAGTATTTACATCGTTGGTGGCCAAACACTACCCCGGGGTAGTTATGTTATTCTCACTAATACATACGCAATACGAATACTGTGAGTAAAAACACAAAGTAAACACAAAACAAAAACAAGTTTATTCAGTTGCTTGTCTGCATTCAACGAAGAAGGTCTATGTCGCTTGATGTTATGATACACGGCGAATATTTTTCAGTAGCCGTTACAAATAAATGTTTATTTCAGGTTTTACTATATTATAAAAAACTAAATATGTGGAATATTGAGTGGGAGAAGGATTTTTTATTCTGTTTAAATATATTTAAGGAAGCTCAATACATACATCGGAACATATTTACATCAACACATACATTAGTACAAACTTACATCAACACATACTTCAATACACACTTACATCATCACATACATCGGTACATATTTACATCAACACATACATCAGTACATATTTACATCAACACATACTTCAATACACACATACTTCATCACATATATCGGTACATATTAACATCAACACATCAATACATACATACATCAATACATACTGACATCAATCCATACATCAATGCATGCATACATCAATACATACTGACATCAATCCATACATCAATGCATACATACATAAATCCATACATACAACATATATACCTACATACATACAAACATACATACATACATACATACATACATACATACATACATACATACATACATACATACATACATACATACATACATACATACATACATACATACATACATACATACATACATACATACATACATACATACATACATACATACATACATACATACATACATACATACATACATACGCATGCATCAAGACATTCAATAATACTTAAATCATCGCATAAATACATACCTTCCGTTATTCATTAAAAGACAAATTTGTTATATGAATAACACAAAATAAATACAAACAAATAATTTGTTTCAGTGCAAATCACACGTATTTTCATTTGTGTACTCTTTTATTTTTTCACTACAACATATGCGTTTTAAGCACTCTCTCGCTGGCCACCACTGATTTACATACATACATACATACATACATACAACAACAACATGTAATATTGACCACGCAACATTGCAACAATTCGTTGTCGCAATCTAAATTTTATGCACATCGGTTGTCTAACATTGTCAACATTGCAACAATTCGTTGTCGCAATCTAAATTTTATGCACATCGGTTGTCTAAAAGTTAACAAACGTGATAAGCTCACTATTGACAACGGATTTTTTCCCTCTGTGTGTTTTGTAGCTTCTCTTCTAAAATTTTCTGAAAAGGACTTGTTACTTTTACGTACTAAGCTAACGATATATATTCTGCGTCCTTATTAAATTCTAATACGATTTAGCCATGTCCGTCCGTCTGTTATAGAAACAATAGGGTCTAAACGAGAAAGGATCCATAATTGACTCTACCTTCTAGGAAATCACTTTAATGCTCATAGCTTAAAATGCCAGTATAGCAACAATTTAACATACACGAGTTTGAAATCTCTCTATGACATTGACACTATTTCGAACACTTTCTATAAACTTTTCAAGTCACTTCAATATGGCTAGGTCATAGAGGTTCATTAACCCTTTTAAGGATTATATGACGGGTTATGTTTTCTGAAATAATGGATATTACTTTATGCAAATGTTATATTTCGACAAGTAAATGACATTTATTTTTTTTATAGAATTTATCAGTGATATAACTCACCTTGCTCCACTGTTCTATTACTACTCTCACAATATTCTATGACGCTCTCAGCTGATAAATTATATTTCCTTAAACGCATATTAACGCATTGATTCAACAAATGATTATAACGTTGACGATTAACATCTTCTGATTTAAATAAATTTAAATACACATTAACCTGTAAAAAGAATGCAATAAAATTAAAACAAATTATTAATAAAAATTAATACATAAACATAAAATAAAAAATACGAAATGAAAAACAACACATGAATAAAAACATAAAATTAATCATTTTATAGATTTTTTGTATGTTTTGTTATGTTTTTGTATAAATGCGGCTATTTTAACAGATGATTGAAAACTCAAGTGTAATGACCTTGAAATTATTGGAAACGCAACAAGAAGTCTACCAATCAAAGATACGCACAATTAACATACAACAACAAAAATGAATAGAAATAAAATTTAAATCTCAAACAAACTTAAAAATGCATAATGACATTAAAAACTTAAAAAAAAAATAAACAAAACAAAAATTATAGAGTAATGGAGCTGGGAGCATTTCATTGAGAGACTAACTTACTTTAAAATCTGCTTTAACAACATTATGGATCTTCATTATATTTATTGAACACATAAGTATGTATATTGTGTGTGTAGTTTTTTTTTTAATTGGTTTATGGCAGCTAAATTGTTTCTAACAGTTCCAAGGCATTATAAACTAGAGGCCGGTGTTTTAGTTTAACTTCTTTTGAAAACAAATCATGCGTTTTCTTGTTTCGTTGTAAGTTTACATTCCATTTACATATGTGTACATATCGATACCATACCAGATTTTATTGTATGACTGTTTAAATGTAAACATAAAATCAAAGATTAAACAACAGAAAAATAAAATCAAGTTCAAATCATTATCAATGGGAATAAGAAAAAAAAAAAATATGAATTAATTATTAAAAATAAAACAGATATTTTGCAATAGGCCATTGAAACCATGACTGATACTAAGAGGTTAATGCATTTTAATTTTAACATTACCTTGTAATGTTAACTAGAAAATAATATTAAATTTTCACAATATTTACTAATGAATTATTTGTTTATCTCGAAATTGGACAATCGGCATGAAGAATTTTTAATTACTTTTAATGGTGTTTTGTTTTTAATTGAAAGTTGATATTTGGAAATTTTTTCTTCTATTTATGTTTATATTTCATAAAATTTTTTAAAGAATTTTTTAATATTTGCAATTTCAAGTAGTTGTCTTAAGTCTTTTGTTTTGTTTGACACTATGTAAATAAAACGAAGTAATTTTTGTAGAGTCATGCTTAAATATTTAAAGAGAATTGTTTTGATGAATAATTAATACCATAAAATACATAATTCATTAAAGTGAAATCATCTTAAGATATAGAATTCCATAATTTCAAAAAAAAAAAAAAATAAAAAATAAAAAATCCCTAACATTTTATGTTTTTGACCATGAGGACTAAGTACAGTGGTTTAGAAACGTTTAAAAACTTGCAAGTTGCCTAATAATGTGAGTTCTCTGGTCGGATTATTATACCGCTCAGTTTCGTGAGAAGGATATATATAAGTTTGTCAGTCCGTTTGTAATTTCTACAATATAAAGAATATATTCCGAGTCCTTATAGAGGGCGGAGTCGATTTAGCAATGTCCGTCTGTCTGTGTGCATGTTGAGATATCTTCGAATCTTCAATTATTCTATCAGACATGCTTCCAAGAAGGTCGCTATTTAAAATCAGCAAAATCGGTCAAAAAATAATGGCGATATGAGCCAAAAGTCGAGACAACCTAACAAAAATGTAAACAACAACAACATTCAGCATCAAACTGTAATTAGTTTGCTAGTTTATAAAAAGAAAACAGAGCAAGAACAACACGCTTAGACAGACAAAGCACTAAATCACGCTATCAAGAGGAAAATCCCAAAAGTTGTTAACGGGACTACACACGGGACACTCAGATATTATCAATTCATCCTAGGAAACGCCATATCAAAGCTATGCAGATTTTATGGCTGTCAGGAGGAGACCTCAAAACTCGCCGAGAAAGAATCTTAGGTGCTGTAACACTAGCCCCAAATACTCACAAAAGGTTCAAAAATTACTAAAATATGATACGAAAATGACTCTAAAACGACCAGTATTTCGACTCAAAAATGTATCAAAAAATATACAAAAATGAGTCGGAACGGATCAGAAGTGGGGCTCATAAGTGACATTTTAAAAGTGTTGCGGTTAGGGTATCGTTTTTCGTCCGTCGAAAGTATTATTTATGATCAGAAAATGAGCGTATATGTGATCATTTTAATCGTGCAGAAGAGTCATAAATGACTCGAATATGTTTAAAAATTAAAAAAAAAAATGGTAGCAGGGTTGCAACTCTGGTACCAAGGAACCTAGAAACACGAAATTATCAGAGATTTTCAAAATCATAGATGGAAAATTGTGTGTAGAAAATTAAGCTAGGATGGAAAAAATAAAAAAAAATACTCAGAAAAGGTTCAAAAATTACTAAAATATGATTCCAAAATGACTGTAAAACGACCAGTACTTCGACTCAAAAATGTATCAAAAAATATACAAAAATGAGTCGGAACGGATCAGAAGTGGGGCTCATAAGTGACATTTTAGAAGTGTCGCGGTTAGGGTATCGTTTTTCGTCCCTCGAAAGTTATATTTATGATCAGAAAATGAGCGTATATGTGATCATTTTAATCGTGCAGAAGAGTCATAAATGACTCGAATATGATCAAAAATTTTAAAAAAAATGCTAGCTGGGTTGTAACTCTGGTACCAAGGAACCTAAGGAACGAAAGCCTTTAAGAGTGGACTTTTTGGTACTTTTTCGTTATTCAAAAGAACATTTTTCAATTTTCACAGTCCTGAGTGAATGAAAAGTTGTACTTTTTCGTACTTCAACTGATACAACTAGTCGGACATGTAGGATCCTGATATAAGAGAATTCCAGCATACTGATGGAATGAAAATCTAAAAAAGGGGACTTTCTCGTACTTTTTCGTTTTGCAACTTCAACTGGGCGACATCTTATATGGGATTTTTTACAGCTATGTTAAAGAAAATTAGCAGAAAAAGCCAATATATTCCTTATTTAGTTAATTTTTCTTACAAATTCATTAAATTTTATAAAAATAAAATTACAAAAGATGAAAGTTAAAGGTTCCCTACTGTTAATCCCTCTACTATTCCCAGTTATTATTCTAAACATTTTATTTTTCGCTTCTATTTTAGTATAGTTGCTTTAAATTAGCATTACTTTCTCTAGCAACCACTCAAATTATAGAACACTTTAAGTTTCAAGTAGCTCTCTTAAGTCTTTTGTTTATTTATACAAAACACAAACCACATACATTGACAGCAAATGTATTAACGCGCAAATACTTAAATTTACACACTACTATACTAACCTTTGTATTATTCATTAATACTCCTTTATATAAATCATTTGCTTCATCTTCCGACAATTTATCGATTTCCAATTGACACCACTGTACACAAATGCCATAGTATAAATGACGATGCTGGAAATGATGTTTATAATATTTGGAAATTTCTTCAATAGCCTGCCAAGCTTCATTGTTATTATCTCTTTGTGGTATAACATCAGCGCGTACAAAACAATACATAGAGAAGTCATTGAACTCTTGCAGGCAACGATCATAATCATCCAAATCGTATAGGGAAGGCATTTTATAATATTGGGTCACTATGATATAAAAAAGGAAATAAAAAAATTAATGATATAAAAAATGCATTAAGAAATATATTTAAAGATCTTAAGTTGAAATGAAGTTTATTTTATACCCTTAATTAACTAGAAATCCTTGTAAGTTAATGTTTAGTTATGTCTGCGGTTTTTCTGTTTCTGTTTTAGAGTTCTTAGTAATGAGTTTTTTTTTTGTTCATTTGTTGGTTTTATTTTTTAAAAGTGAAAGGGAACTTGTTTTATTGTCAGTTTCGTTCTAGAACATCATCCTTTCTTAGGAAGTTTTTTAGAATTACTTTTGCTTCAATAATGGAAATTTTTTTGTGATTTTTTTTATAATACGTTTGAAACTAGTTTATTATGTGATTGTCTTGTTTGATAGTTAAATTTTTATTTAATTTTAAGTAAAAGTAAGCGTGAAATTACATGCTAGTGACTGTTTGTTGTTTTATCAAAAAAATCTTTTCAGTTCAATAATTTTATATAGTTTTATGTATAAAGTATTAAAGTAATTACTTTAGTGTGCTTTAATTATATTATAAATATATTATAAATATTGATGACGACATGTTGATACCTCGTAACTTAATTTTTTTCCCCAAACATGATTGGGAAAAATTGTTACTTATGACAAGTCAAACTGTAAACATTGTTTTTATTATACCCTTCACCTTCCGACCTTATATATCGTGGATCGGTGTCGATTAAGCCATGTCTTTCCGTCAGTCTTTCTGTCCGTCTGTCTGTTGAAATACATTTTCTGAAGACACCAGATATCTTCGGGATCCAAATCTTCAATAATTCTGCCAAATCTTCAATAATTCTGTAAAAAGTTGTTTTGTTTTACGAACAAAAATATTGCTGATGCAAAAAACGAACCTGAACCTATTGTTCGTTAGTTGTCTGCTATACGCACGACCGCTTCTGCTAAGATTTTTTACGATTGCTAACGCGTGATCAAAATAAAGTACTTACGTATCTGATTATACGCAAGTCATTATAAGAGTAATTAAAAGTAATGCAGACAGTATGTAGTAGTTATTTAAAAGTAAGTAGTTACGTAACTTCCTGCCAAAGAGAGTGCCATGTTGCCCCAATAGTGCTTTTTTTTTGAAAATAAGTTGTTACCGACCTATCGCCTAAATGGAAGATATAGAATGAATGCCTATCAGATAATCGATTATTTGCTCACTTAGTTTTGTTACTATTAGACGTCTTGATGTAATCAGCTGGCTGTATCGTAGCAGCGAATGAGACCAAAATCGGTAATATTCTTTAGACTGATATAATACAAAGTTATGTGCTTAAAAGCCTTATTGGGGGGTTCGGTTGTAATGGGTCTAGCTGAAATAATGAACTGATTCTAAACATTTTCAATAGTCTTCGTTAGTGCTAAATTCATCAAATTATTTTGAAAATCGCGACCAGTGATTTGATTACAAGGATGGACGGACGACAGATGGACGGACATAGCTAAATCGATTCAGAAAATTAATGAGCCGATGAATATACTTAAAGGTCGGTTTAGAGCCCACGTTTAAAGTTTTGAAAAATACTAGCGAAATGATATCTCGATATCATCAAATGATAAATGTTTTCTTTTTTTATTCCGACACACGCTTTTGAAATTACATTTCAATCTAAAATATTCATTTATGTCTTCATTACTTAAAATATTGACATATAAACAAAATAGTATATTTATTTTAATAAATTAATCAAAAGCTCATTAACTGTCAAATTTTTTTTTTTGATAATTTTTTTTAATAATTAATGTCATGTTTTATTTTCGGAGGTGTGTTAATAAGTTATTAAAAAATTGTCAAATATTAGAAATTGTCATACTACACAAGTACTTAAATTATTTTAAACAAATATATATTTTCAATAAAAATAATAATGAAGCATTTTTCAACCATTACTATGGTATATAACAAAAATTTTCAATATATTTTTTACATAGGAAATTTTATTTTCGTTAAATGTTCTCAACATTTGCTTAATTTGTTATTGAGCTTTTTTTTAAAAAAATATGCGTATTATTTCTTAAAATTTCATTCAATGTTCATATTCATACCGGAATTTTTTTATGGCCCATAAAAAAATTGCGTTTACAGAATCAATTACTTAACTACTCAAGCATTTCACTGTTTGTCAAAATAATTTATTATTATCAATATAGTAAATAGTGGATATTTTGTAATAGTCATTTAAATAACTGCCTACGTAAAAATAGAATAGAATTTTTGCTGGTTTAGAATGAAATGTAAGATTTATAAATGCAATTGGAACATTTTAAATTATTTACAATTTATTAATTAATTAGCATTTTGTTATGGCATGAATGGCTGGATGTTTGAGTTCCACCCCTCAGGATAGTCTAGAGAGACAATGCCAAAAATAACTCTTCTTGATACATACATATATCAAATGTATTTCTGCGAAATATGCTCTACGACTTAAGCAGCCGAACGGACTGAAGCATGATCGGATTGGTCATGGCACCATCCTACAAAAGATAGGCATGCCAATTATGGGGCAGGAAACTGACTACATTCTATCTACACTGAATTTTAAGCGGTCATTCAAGACCAGAATACCGATAAGGGATGATTGAGCCGCGAACACTGTCCTAAGGAACGACGTTATCTCAATCTATACTGATGGCTCAAGGATCGTGAAAGGGGCACTGGATCGGGAATCTTCTCCGAAAAACTAAATCTTCTACTGTCTCTTCGACTACCTGACACCTGCACGGTCCTTCAGGCAGAGATATATGCCATCTATACAGCCGCGAGAAGAATCCGGAAACTAAATCTCGAAAATTCGACTATACATATATACTTGGACATCCTTACATCAATCAAGGCTCTTAACTCCAATGTTATTAAGTCCAAATGTCTTGTCAATGGCAATTCTAAGGGTATTACAATCCACGTAAATCAAATTTTTGTATGATATTATTTTGATAGAAAAATAATAGTTTCCTGTTGGTTTTGTTGAAAAGCGATAGTTTGTAATGTCAAAATACCCGAGGGTTAAGTCTGCAACTCTATATGAAAACAGAATTGATCGAAATTGAATGAAATATCCGAGGGTTTAGTCTGTAACGCTATTTGAAAACAGAATTGCTCGAAATTAAATGAAATAGACGTTATGTGAAGACTCAATATATAAAAACTCAAGATTATAAATTGTAAAAATTGAGGGAATTTGGTCAAAACTCACAAACAAATATATTTTACCATCACAACCTCCCCAACAAAAACTCGGTAATGACTTGTACTTACACATCAAATTACTTTTTAATGAGTAGTACTATTTGTACCTAGTTATAAGTATTTATATAAGTAGTTATTTGTAAGCGAGCATGGTATGTACCTACTTGCCTCTAATGCAGCAAAAGGCAGAGAGTAAAAAATTAGCTCTTTGACTGAGTTTGCTTGTGTTTGTTCATATGTAGGTGTGAAAGCAGGAGTACAGAAGAGCTCATAGCGTTTCGCTGCTCTGATGTCATCACAGTATTAAAATGAGTTAAATAATGAAAAGCGGGTTTTTTAGCATTACTTTTCAATGTAAGTTTTTGCTGGTCTCATTTTCATTCAAATGTAAAATAGAGATTCCTCGAGGGTTTTACATGTTTATATTTTAATTGATATTATTTTGTTTTGCAATAAATACATTTTTTTATATAAAACATTTTTTTTTTATTTAATTTAATAAATTATTAAATAAATGATTAAAGTCGGAATTAAAAAATCACCTGTTAAAACCATTTATATATAATTCCTGTTAAATTGTATTATTCCCGTGGGGAGTGGGTAAATATTAAATATCTGTCTGGGAGGTGTTAGGTACTAATACATGTTAAATTGTTTTCCTTCTTTTTTTGTCCGCACTTTTAAGCTTAAAAACACAATATTCCTATAAATATGTATTTTACGTTGTTTTAAGTACAAAACCTAAAACGTAAAATTTTAAATAAATTTCTTTAAATTTTATTTGTTTAAGAAATCAGTCATCAACAAAAAAATGTGATGAATGAATGAACAAATTCAGGTAAAAAAAAAAAGAAATTATAATGTCTGTTAATGTAACAAAATGAGAATACAGTATGGATTCGATTTGCTCAAATGCGGTTTTTTGCCCGTTTTTGAATTAAAAAAGAAAATCAAATTTTTCTTACAATAGATTTACTTTTTCAGTTTTTCATGAAAAATATATTTTTCTCGTGTTAAAAACTTATTCTCAGTATTTTCAGACCATACTGTGCTTAAATTCATTATAAAAGTCATCAAAATTTTACTGATTTATTAAAAAAATCATAATTACTTCCAACTTATTCTTTTCAGTAAATTCTTATATTTATTTTCTGTTTGTTCTTAAAGCTGAAATCCACTTAAAAACTCGTGTATTCTACTTCTACTATTAGCAAATAGCGTAACGTTTTTATACCAACCATCAAATTTGTTGGGAGCTACATATATTGATCTTGTCATTACGTTTGTAACTCATCAAAAGTATGTACATAAAATGTATATTCTGGGTCCTTAAAAGAAATCACGTTTAAAATCACTATTGGCTTCCAATGGTATGTTTGGTATTTCTCTTATCACCCATACAAATGTCATTACCGGAAATACAGTTTAAGAGATTTTAAATATGTTTAAGAATCACTTTCTAAGTCGATTAACTTTTTGTCTGTCCGTCCGGCTAGATGTCTATGAATTAAAGATACTTTGACCCAAGGACAAAGCCTATAGAAAATGGTTAAATAGGCCCATTATATGTTAATTAATTATGTTAAATCTTTATATATAAAAATGAGTGTGTGTTTGTATGTTTGTTTATTTGATTGGACCTTATAGACTGCTGGACCGATTTTTCTGAAATTTTCACAGTGTATTCCTGTATGTCTGGAAGGAACTGTAAATAAGTATTAAAAGTCGTATATCTCAGAAACTGACAAATCTAGAGTTCTCAAAATTTAGTATGAACAA